ACAAGAGAGAGAGGGGTGGATCGACTGCATTTTTTTGGACTGCAAGAAGGCCTTCGACACAGTTCCTCACAAGAGGTTACTGCAAAAGCTAGAGATCAGGCACACATAACAGGAAAGGCGCTGCAATGGATAAGAGAATACCTTACAGGGAGGCAACAACGAGTCATGGTACGTGATGAGGTGTCAAAGTGGGCGCCTGTGACAAGCGGGGTTCCACAGGGGTCAGTCCTAGGACCTGTGCTGTTCTTGGTATATGTGGAAATGACATAACGGAAGGGATAGACTCAGAAGTGTCCTTGTTTGCGGACGATGTGAAGTTAATGAGAAGAATCAAATCGGATGAGGATCAGGCAGGACTACAAAGAGACCTAGACAGGCTACAAGCCTGGTCCAGCAACTGGCTCCTTGAGTTTAACCCCGCCAAATGCAAAGTCATGAAGATTGGGGAAGGGCAAAGAAGAAGACCGCAGACACAATATAGTTTAGATGGCCAAAGACTGCAAACCTCACTCAAGGAAAAAAGATCTGGGGAGTGAGTATAACACCGAGCATATCTCCTGAGGCGCACATCAATCAGATAACTGCTGCAGCATACGGGCGCCTGGCAAACCTACGGATAGCGTTCCGATACCTCAGTAAGGAGTCGCTCAAGACTCTGTATACCATTTACGTCAGGCCCATACTGGAGTATGCAGCACCAGTTTGGAATCCACACCTAGTCAAGCACGTCAAGAAATTAGAGAAAGTGCAAAGGTTTGCAACAAGACTAGTCCCAGAGCTACGGGGATTGTCCTACGAAGAAAGGTTGAGGGAAATCGGCCTGACGACACTGGAGGCCAGGAGGGTCAGGGGAGACATGATAACGACATATAAAATACTGCGCGGAATAGACGAGGTGGACAAAGACGGGATGTTCCAGAGATGGGACACAGACACAAGAGGTCACAATTGGAAGTTGAAGACTCAGATGAATCAAAGGGATGTTAGGAAGTATTTCTTCCGTGGAATAGCCTAGAAAGTGAAGTAGTGGAGGCGGGAACAATACATAGTTTGAAGGCGAGGTATGATAAAGCTCATGGAGCAGGGAGAGAGAAGGACCTAGTAGCAATCAGTGAAGAGGCGGGGCCAGGAGCTATGAATCGACCCCTGCAACCACTAATAGGTGAGTACAAATAGGTGAGTACACACACACACACACACACACACCAACACACACACACACACACACACACACACACACACACACAACACACACACACACACACACACACATTCACTCACACACACATTCACTCACACACACACACACACACACACACACACACACACACACACACACACACCACACACACACACACACAAGCAGAGGTATGATAAAGCTCACGGCTCAGGGAGAGTGACCTAGTAGCGATCAGTGAAGAGGCGGGGCCAGGAGCTCGGACTCGACCCCCGCAACCTCAACTAGGTGAGTACACACACACACACACACACAGTTAAGCTCCCAGCAGTAGGAAACATCCCACTAGTTTATATACATTTTGACGAGCACTGTGTTACCCAGTGGTCCACCAGGGCGCCCAGGGGAGCCCTGAGTCCTGGCTAGTGAACACAAGACCGGAAGATAAAAATTCCTCACTGCTTCATATATAGAATAAGCTTCACTTGGTAGCCACGACGCTGGGAGAGCTTCAGGTGTGTGTCTGGAGAAGCTGGTGGACAGTGCTTGTCTGGCTACTGTCTCTCAGTCACTGTCCCTAGACTGAGAACCCAGTGCTGCCTTTTTAGTGTACATATGTTGGATTCTTCTGTCTTCTTTAAGATGTCAACATTGTACGAGCCCGCCTGGTGTGTGTATGTGTGTGTACTCACCTATTTGTACTCACCTATTTGTGGTTGCAAGGGTCGATTCACAGCTCCTGGCCCCGCCTCTTCGCTGATTGCTACTAGGTCCTCTCTCTCCCTGCTCCATGAGCTCTATCATACCTCGCCTTAAAACTGTGTATGGTTCCCGCCTCCACTACTTCACTTTCTAGGCTATTCCAAGGCCTGACTACTCTATGACTGAAGAAATACTTCCTAACATCCCTTTGATTCATCTGAGTCTTCAACTTCCAATTGTGACCTCTTGTGTCTGTGTCCCATCTCTGGAACATCCCGTCTTTGTCCACCTCGTCTATTCCGCGCAGTATTTTATATGTCGTTATCATGTCTCCCCTGACCCTCCTGTCCTCCAGTGTCGTCAGGCCGATTTCCCTCAACCTTTCTTCATAGGACAATCCCCGTAGCTAATTTCTTGACGTGCTTGACTAGGTGTGGATTCCAAACTGGTGCTGCGTACTCCAGTATGGGCCTGACGTAAATGGTATGTGTGTGTGTGTGTGCTCACCTAGTTGTGGCTGCAGGGGTCGAGTCATAGCTGTGTGTGTGTGTGTGTGTGTGTGTGTGTGTGTGTGTGTGTGTGTGTGTGTGTGTGTGTGTGTGTTGTGTGTGTGTGTGTGTGTGTGTGTGTGATGTATGTGTGTGTGTGTGTGTGTGTGTGTGTATGTGTGTGTGTGTGTGTGTGGATACCTCAAAGGTGCTTTTAGATTTGCCAAACAACTATTTGCTGCAATTGTTATTCAGTTAATGTGTTTATCTAGTGATATGCTCGGCGCTAAACTCACCCCGAGATCTTTATCCTTGAGTGAGGCTTGCACCCTCTGTCTCTCCCAGTTTCTGCTCATTTCCGGTCTTGGTATTCCTTCCCTAATTTTCCTGGCCCTGTAACTTGCTGAAGTTGAAGTTAAGTAGTTTCTTGTGTGATCAATCATGCTGTTTGTTCGGGACCATTCGCAGTCTTTCCTTTTCCTCGTCTAATATTACATCACCTGCAAGCAGGGATACATTTAGCCATCTCTTCTGTGTTGACATTCACATAGACCTGAAAGAGTGTCGGTCGTAACACTGATGCTTGCGGAACCTCGCTTGTTACACTTGCCCATTCTGGATATCTCTTCTCGGACAATTACTGTTTATCTCCTTCCCTTAAGTTACTCTTTGACTCACGGTAGTGCAGTGTTTGTCATGTGAATTAACGGTTTAAAACACCGACACATTGATAAATGAGATACTTGTGCAACATTTTGGCATATTTATTCGCGAAACGTTTCACCTGCAGAGGCTTCTTCAGTTTAATGCAGAGAAAGGTGAAAGATGAGGATGAATTTGAGGTAACCAGTCCCTCAGCCTTGGAGTTGGTGAAAATCACCGTAGTCTTGAAGACTACGGCGATCTTCACCAACTCCAAGGCTGAGGGACTGGTTGCCTCATCTTTCGTATATGATTCTACAGTTTTCACATTATGTCCTTGTATTGTATTGATAAAACCATTGGATAGCGAAACGTCTACAATAAATACACCCAGACGTTGCACACGTGTCTAATTCTTCAGTTGTATTACCGGGTCTTACATCCTCCTCTTACGTGGCTGCGTAGCAGTTCTGGGTCAGATCTGACTTGTGCTGCTGTTCTGTCAGTCTCAGGTTGCTGCTCACCCTTCCCTTCGTCACTCTTCTATATTTATTTCCTGCTCTTAGTGTCTTCTTATCTGCCTTCCTCCCTGCTCATCTACCTTCCTCTCCGTTTATCTACCTTCCTGCCAGCCTGCCTGAATTAGCTCTCTACGTGTTTGCCAGCGTTTCTTAACCATCCCCTGACACATTCATCTTATGTCAGTGAGAGTGAGTTGGTCCCTCACCCCAAGTGCCCTCTTATAACTCTCTCCATTCTTCCATTCCTCCTGTCCTTCCCCATTCTTTGCTTCCTTTCTCCTGCCTTCCCCTCGGCCCGTCGTTGGTGATAACTGCACAGTTATCATAGTACATCTGGTCATTACAGTGACATTAGTACTCAGGGGTAATGGGACGCAGAGTTAAATACGGGTTGCAAAGGATGTTGTGATTATTCTAGCGCAAGACTCTTGGCTCCACAGAAAAGAATCTCTAATTTAGTTGGGAATGTAGAGATGCTTGTCTGCAGACCTTCGGTTATTCTAGAGTACAGGTGGGGCTAGAACCCATGGGTTCTAACCCCACCGGTACCGTGTGTGTGTACATGTATGTGGATCCGTGTGAGGCAGTACACAGGCAGGGGCTACACTCTGGCCTGCCACCAGGACATCTTTCACTTCTACCCAAACACCCACATCCCTACCCACACGCCTACCCATCCACCCACCCACTGCTTCACCTACTGGTGATGTGACCTCTTGTGCCCCCATCTAATCACAGATTATGCCAGGACCCGATAACCTGTGTCACACACTACCCACCTGCCAGCCACACTACCCCAATACCCTGTCTGCCCCTCCCTCCTTTGCCCTCCCTCCCTCCCTCACTCTCCTGCCCTCCCTCCCTCGCCATCAGGGTATTTCTGTGCCTCACATGAGTCTGTGCCAGACTGTGGCATTTCTGTCAGCGTGTGGGCAGTTGACGTCCAGAGAGTCATGTCTCATTAACCACAGTCTACACAGTCTGTCAGCCTCTCACAGTCTATCACAGTCTATTACAGTCTGTCACAGTCTGCCACAGTCTATCACAGTCAGTTAGTTCCACTCTTCAGACAGTCACTTCCATGTTGATGAAAGACACTTGATCAATTAAATTAGAGCTACTCCTCCCATACCTCGGATCAAACATAATCTATCACTTTGCAGAATCTCTGTAGGCCCCTACGGGTATAGCGATTCTCTAGGAATTATTATTATTATTATTATTATTATTATTATTATTATTATTATTATTATTATTATTATTATTATTATTATTGTTGTTGTTGTTGTTGTATCGTCGCTGGTACAAATTATTATCGTTACGATAGTTTAAAAGTAACTTGAGTTTTTCAGTTGATAGTTGCTTCCTAAGTTGGTCTTCATTCTGCCAACATTGTACACTTGATCAACTTGAGGAGGCCCGAGTCTTTGTAAAGTTCATGTGTTTGTTATGTTCTCTTTATCCCTGCAG